CCCCCCGCCAGGTTCATGGCAGGCACCGGCGATCGCCGGGCCCCTGCCCGACCGGATCCCGTCACCCGTGAGCATCAGTGGTGAAGGAGCGGGGACGGCCGAGCCCAGGACTGGAGAGGGGTTCCTACAATTCCCACCCATTTGGAGTCAAATAGCCAAAATTTGTGTCTCTTCTATCTGCCATGACCAAAACCCATCTTGGGAGCTGAGGATCAAGTTGGGTCCCCTTCCAGCATGGTTTTTTTTTTTTTCTTTTTTTGATCCAAAGCTACTTGAGAAGCCAGAAGAAGCATTTGGAGATGGTGATGGTGAAATCAGAGAACGGTTTGGGTTGGAAGGGACCTCTAAAGGGACTATCCTGGAGCCGCTGGACCAGAGGTTCATCCGGTCACCAGCTCCGATTCCTGGAAAGGGAATACAAAACCAAACCCACAGAGGACTCACAGGCCAGGAGAAGTTCAAGGACCTCTCGCTTACGGCCAGCCCCAGCAGAGGTGACGCTGAACCTGCAACAAAGGTGTCAAAACTCATTTCGTGTTGGGTCTCATGCTGGATTTCCGTGTGCCAGGGAGGAGAGGATGGCGGTAATGGCACCACCGCGCTCGCTGCACCTCTGGGAGGGCTGTCGGATGAGTTCCTCGCCCACCTTTCAACAAGGAGACTCATCAAGGGGAAAGGAACAAAATAATAATAAATAGATGGGTTGCATCATCGGCAAGGGCCAAAGCCACCGGGCAGCGGTTTCTCTCTTACCTTTAGTGTCATTCACCGGATCCATGTGCCTGTAAATATATCCTTCTAGGTAGGAATGAAATTTGGGAGTGGGTGGGAAAAAGGCCAAACAAATGGCCATGAGCTCCCAGCCCCGGGCCAGGCTCTCGTAACGGAAGTTCTCGGTGGTCTGCCGGCACAGTTGGATGTAGAGCTCGTCTCTCAGACCCTGCATGCTCCAGCCTTTGGTGGCGATTTCCAAGGCCACGTTGAGTTGGTCCGTCTTGGCCCGCCGGTCCCCCATGTACATCTGAATCAGTTTAAATATCTCGCACGCCTCCTTCTTGACGTTGCGGTCGTTGGTCATGATCATGGGTTTCTTGATGGACTCGCTGCTCCAGGCCAGCATGTTGGCGATGGACACCTTCCTGCGGAAGAGCCCCTGGGTGTGCTTGTTGAAGTGCTTGGAGGCCCAGTTCTCAATGTCCGTCTCCGAGGAGGGCTTCCGCAGGTTGAAGGTGGGGAAGACACAGCTGGCGCTAGGCATCATGTTCCGGGTCTGTCTGCTGCTCTCGAACTGGGCGCAGGCACCGAGATCCTCCGACTAGGAGACAACAGCCAGACAAGTCAATGTTACTAACAGCATGGCCACACCGCCAAACCAACCAACCAACCAACCGACCAATCAAGCAGCCAACAAACCAACCAATCAACCAACCAACCAAAAACCCAACCAACAAGCAAACCAACCAACCAACCAACCACCAACCAACCAACCAAAAAACCAACCAACAAACCAATCAACTGACCAACCAACCAACGAACCAACCAACAAATCAACCAATCAAGCAACCAACAAACCAACAAACCAACCAATCAACCAACCAACAAATCAATCAACTGACCAACTGACCAACCAAAAAAACAACCAACAATCAACCAACTGTTGCAGCATTAAGAGGTCACCCCACGCTCGCACCAAAAGCTACGTCCTCTCCAAGGAGCTGCTCCTCAATCCCATCATGGGCAAGCGGAGCCGGCCCGGTGCCAGCGGCCAAGGCAGATTGTGGCACCGATCAGCATCAAGAGGGAGGGGACCAGTGGGGATAAGCAAAGCCACCCAACAGCTGACGGGCTGGATTCCCTTCGTGCCTGGCACTCTGGTCACTCAGGCTTTGCAGTCATGGACAGACGAAGCTGGTGGCTGTTAATAACGTGGGGTAAGCAAAGGGGAAGCGGCTTCGGGCTCCACCAGTCCTTTGGGCACACCAGGGAGGGGACACACTTACCTGTAACCCCCCAAATAACCCCCTCTCCCCAAAGTCACGTTCAAGCGTGGTTCTCCAGCGGCCCTATACCCAGGAAGAGGCTGATGGCTCCTCCAAGCCATGAGCAACATGGATCTTGTTTCTTTACATCCCATGTGCTGAGGGACACAACCTGCCCAGGATCCAAGCTTGCCTGCAGAGCGCCCAGCCGAGAAGGACCTCCGCAGAGCAAAGGGTACCCCTGCAGACCAGTGTCCTTCTACTACTGGGACCGGCACAGCTTATGGATATCACCCCAGGAGATGAAGGGACACCCAAACAGCTGATGCCCAGCATGGTGAAAGGCAAACAAGGACACCTGGGATGGACTGCTCCCTGGTCCTGCAGCCAGCCAACATGCCTTCATCATCTGTCAGCTTCCTCTTCCGCAAGTGCAACGCCCAGGTCAGCATCACCTGGGTTTGGTGGCCCTGGGGACGTGACCCATGGGCAGGCAGGAGTTGAGACCTTCCCTTGGCAGGGAAGGACACGCCACATCATCCAGAGGAGATGTTGCTGTCCCCACCAGGCACCGGGGAACCTTGCTGGTGGCCTCGAGCAGGGACCATGCGCAAGGTGGCTGCAGCCGTGCCACGGCCTTGGGGCTGGGCTTTAGATGAGGAACAGAAGAAGAGAAGCAGGAGGCAGAACCAAGGTGGAAAAAGTCAGGGCCACATGGAGGTGGCAAGTCCAGGAGGGGACAAGGAAGCCACCCAAAGAGCCACCAGAGCTGTTGGTAGACAACTGAGCCTCTGCTTCTTCAAACAAGTCAAGTTTCTTGTCTCCTCGCTCAACAGCTCATCCCTTCGCAGTGCTGAGGTCTCCTCTTTCCATTGACGTTGCTCAGCTCCCATCTTGCACCACGGTGATGATGGCAGGGACCTGGCCGTGGGGACATGGGAGCTTCACCCCTCGAGGGACCCAGTCCCTCTGTTCCTATGGAGGCCACATCACCCGGAAGGTCCCTTCTGTGTCCTCCAATCTTAGGAGCAAGGCTGCTCTAAGGCTTCTCGCTCAGCAGCCATTGCTGCCCTGGCTCTTCCAAAAACCGATCCACGAGCTGGGCCACAGCCACCCTGTTTGTCCAGGGCACCCAGGGAGAAGCAAAGGACCACGTCAGCTGGGGACATCAGCCTTCTCCAGCCAAGTCCACCCCAGCGGACAGCGTGGTCAGGCCAGGGAGTGACACAGGCAGCAAAATGTGATGGATCCTCTGCTGCTAGTGCCAATATAAAATTAGCTTCAGCCCTAATTAGCACAGTCCTAAATGAACTGGGGGAAGCCTAAGGCTACGACAAAGGGGATCGGCAATCGGGCGTCAACGGCAGCTGGCCATGACCTCTTGGCAGGGTGCTGGCATGGGGGCTGCCGCTGCCCGTCCCGTGGGGTGATCCTCCTTTCAGCTCAGGGATTACGGGAATGCTCAAACCCAGAAGCAAACTGAAGCGTGCTGTGGGGGAAGGAGGTCCTGGTGCCATACAGATGGGGCTTGGATGCACCCCAGTGCGGGGCCAATGTGGGGACACACCGTTGGTGACACCAGGCACACGTCCCCGTCTCTTCCTCTCCTCTGCCAGGTCTCTGCATCTCCCTGCATGTGATCCCCAGCGTCATTTTGCTCCCGTTTTCTTCTCTGTTTCTGGTACATCTTGCTGTCACAGATATCATGGTAACCCTCCGCACAAAGGTCTCCGTCAGGGCTGGCCGCAGGTCTGGGCCCATCGCAAGAGGCTTCTGCTTCAACCAACATTGAAGGTTCCCCAGCTGATGAGGGCGTAGGAAACCAAATTAAAACAACGTGACAATCTTAGACATGATCATTGAATGGTTTGGGTTGGAAGGGACCTTCAAAGATCATCTAGTCCAACCCCCACTGCCAGGGGCAGGGACATCTCCCAGGTTGGTCAGAGCCCCATCCAACCTGGCCTTGAACAATTCTAATGATGGGGCATCCACAACTTCTCCGGGGAACCTGGTCCAGTGTCCCACCACCTTGGCTGGAAATCTGCTCTTCCTGGAACGGGTGTCCCTGAGATTGAGGACAACAGCTGATGGGGTCAACCAGACAGAAACGCCTGGGCAGCGGAGAGGAGTCCCACCACATCCCGAGCTCCACGCAGAAGGTACAGGATCACTAATGGTGGCAGCTATTCCTCCTGGCCAACGTGAGCATCCAAAGCAGATTTGGAGCTCTCCAGTTTTGGGTTTGAACCTCCTCGTGCAGCACCGAGTGCTTGGGGACACCTGTGCATGGGGAATTTTCTTCTGTTGCCTTGGGATGCGACGCCTCTCCAATTTCCTTACACGTTCTCATGGGTGAAAAAGCATTTTCCAGATGATTTGCTGTTTCCCAGGTCCATGTCCAGGGTCTCTCTCCTCCTCGCTGATACCAAGCTTACCAAGCTCCATCTTCTAGGCAGTTTTCCAGGTCGGATTGCTCTCACCAGGGTAACTGTCCCTGCACACGGCATCATCATAGATTTAAAAAAAGCCATTATAGCCTTTCCTAGCGTCCTTACATCAACTCTCGATGCATCCAAAAGCCAATCAAGTGGTCTTACTCCAGGGACACTTGTCTTCACCTCCTCACCTCCACAGCCCATCTCTGGGCTCTTCTGGCTGGGGGCACGTGGGCAGCATCACTGTCCTTGCCCAGAGCAGGCACCACAGGTCAGAGGGGCAGATTTCGGGTGTCGGATGCCGGTGGGGAAAGGACACGAGAGCTGAAAGCCAGAAGTCAGGAGATGCTGAAGGGAAACATCCGAAGGGGGCTGGAAGATGGACAGAAGGTCCAGGGCAGAGCCCACGGAGGGCTATCAGCAGCAGGAGGGCTACACCATCACAAGAATGGTCCATGGCAGCCCCAGGAGCTTCTCTGGGATGGGAGCTTGGGGCAGGAGGGGTCTCCAGGACCAGGGCAGCTCAGTCCCAGAGAGGGGAGAGGCAACTCAGAGCCCTGGGAAGCAGATTCTGGAAAACTGGTGTGCTTGTGGCTGTTTCATCCCAAGGTTTTAAGGGACAACTTGCTAAGGAGCAACTTCTCTGAGGGACCACATTACTAAGGACCAACTTTGAGGGACCAGCTTGCTAAGGGGCAACTTCTTTGAGGGACCAGTTTGCAAAAGACCAAATCTGAGGGACCAGCTTGCTCTGGAACAACTTCTTTGAGGGATCAGCTTGCAAAGGAGCAAATTCTACGAGAAAGCAAATCTGGCAGTCAGGTCGGCAGTGCGGAGGCACGACCTGCGTGGGGTGCTGCCTGCGATCAGATGGGACAGTTTGCACTGGAGGGACGAAGCTCCCCAACTTACTTTCAGTCCTCACTGGGAAAAACTCCTGCTGTAACTGGAAGTCGCCTTGGGGGTACTGGTGGGTCCACTGATGGGTTCAGCCACCACTTGGATGGCTGGAGCTGGGGTGGTGGGTCAAGATCCCAACTCAAACGTGGCGCTGCCCGTTCCTGCTCACCGCAAAAGCCAAGGGCCAGCGGCGCTGCCCCGGCACCTCGAACCGCTACGGCTGGCAACAATCCGGCGAGCAAACCCTCATTTCTGGCAGAGGACCCCTTTGAAAATGGAAGCAGGTGGAGAGAGCAGAAAGGGGCTGATGTTCTCGGTGCCGTTTACCCACCCTGGCCATCTCCCCTCGCTCTGCAGAAGGGACATCCCTGCTCACGCATCTCCTCCAGCTGGATGGGGACCAGAGATGGCATTTTGGGTGTCCCCAGAATCCAGTGTTCTCGGAGGATGCTACGAAGCCTGGACTGAGCCACCGTGGGACTGCTAAAAGGGAAATCTTCCACACCGCCGCCGTCTGACGGTGCCGTGATGTGAAACGCAAGGAGATGAGTTATTGCACAGCACACAAGCCCCGTGCGTGTGCCAGGAGCACTGAGCACAGCCAGGGACGGGTGCTCGGGACTCCCCTGGGAGCCAGGTGGGGTGCTCAGGGTCCAGGAGCTGGCTCCCACCAAGCAGCAGCCAGACCGAGGGAGGAGAAGCAGCGCCTGAAGCCATGGCACAGAGCTGAGGCTGCCACGGTACAGAGGTGGCTGGCCCGGTGCTCGGTGGCTGTGAAGGCATGAGATTGCCCCGGGGACCATCCCGCTGGATCTGCAGCGGAGGCAGGGATTTAAACTGGCTTTACAAGAAGAAAGAGTTTTAACCAGGAGGGCGGCGGGGATGCCGCGTTGCCACATGGTGTGGTCTGCCCAACCTGGCGCGGCACCCGAGGAGATGCCACACGGTGGGTGAGGGTTGGCGGTGCGGAGCACGTGGTGAAGCCCCCCAACGCCGAGGACATCCCCAAGGACGTTACCTGAGATGGATGCAGGTAGGGTTCGGGAGAGGCCAGGTTCGTCTGCACCGAGACTCTCTTCTCCAGCAGGATCTGGGGGAAGCCCAGCTTCTCAAAGGTGTTCCTCTTCCAGTGCTTGTTCTCCTGCTGTGCCAACGCCTCATCCTCGCTGAAGGCTCGCACCACTGGACCCGGCATGGGCAAAGGGAGGGCACCGTCGCTCTCATAGCCCGAACCGTCTTTTTGGGAATCCCAGCTGCTCCGTTGTTTCATGTGGTAGTGGGCTTGCTGGGCTTCCCAAGCCAGGCGTGCCTGTGCCAGGAAGGGCTCGGGGAAGCCCCGTGCTGCCTCCGTTGCTTTCCGTACGGTTCATGGGTGACCTGTTGGGTCCTGGAGTGGCTCGTTCCTCACCCAGCATCTGCTCGCCCAACACCTCCCGGTCCCCCGAGCCGTCCGTGGAGGAGGTGTTGGGGTCGTGGGATAGGGAAGGCTTTCGGCTTTTCCTCTTTCTGGTGGAGGGTGAGTAGCCGGTGGAGGACAAGGTGTCCTGTTGGCTGGACCACGACATGGAGTCCTCGCCCTGGGCCACCTGGCCACCCGTTGGGCCAGGGCAGAAGTCAGGTCCCTCCATGCTGCTGTAGTCACCCGATTTGATGTCCAAGCGTTGGTCGCGGATCAGGCAGGGGCTGTGCTGCAGCGAGTAGGAGCCGCCGATGGGGTTGGGGGAATATTTGTGCCTCAACCCCGTCTTCATCTTGGGGCTGGAGCCCGACTGCTCGACGTAGACCAGTTGCCTGACGTACTCCTTGCCGGCGGGGCTGTACTCCAGGCTCATGAACCGGTCGGGACACTTCTGTTTGGTGAGCACCAACTGCTGGTAGGGCGAGTTGGAGCCTTGCTTGGGCGATTGCAGGAAGGGGTGAGGTTTACGGATGGGCGATTTCTGCGGCGAGCCGGCTTTGTAGCTGCCGCTGGCTTCGTACTGCATGTCCACGGGGGGTTCGTCATAGATGGGAGCCTGGTACTCCATGGGGGGTTCCTCGTAGAGGGGGGGCTCGTAGGCGTAGCGGGGCGAGGAGGGTTGCGATTCACTGGAGTGCTTGCGATGCTGGGCTTGGAGCGGGGAGCAGAAGGAGTCCCCCCGGCCGAGCAGCGGTGAGCAGCTGCCCACGTGCTCAGCCCTCTTCAAGAAGGGCGACTGCTTCCTCTCTGGGAAGAAAACAGAGTTGTCGGTGTCCGGGGCGAAGGTTTGTAGGTTGGGCGACTGTTGGCCTCCTGAAGGTCGCCGCGAACGGCTGCCTGGTTGGGTTTCGGGCGCGTAGCCATTGCCTTGGTGCATGAGGAAGCTGGGTTCGCGGTCGGTCACCTTGATCAGCATCCGCTCCTTGGTGCCGGCGTTCCATCGCAGGGAGGACGTCCTGCGGGGAGAAACACAGCGCCGCCATCAGCGAGCGAAGCCCCCCCATGCCCACAGAGGGACAGGTGCCCTTGTACCGCTGCCCCAGGACCCCCCAGACCCTCGGCCACAGCAGAGCCCAAAGGACGGACATGCCCAAGTACCCCAAACCTCTCCCGTCAGGTGGAAAGCACACCGGTGATGGAGCGACCGGGGCACTACCACCGTCCTAAACGCAGTGGCACCGGCCCGCAGCCCTCCCCAGCTCCCACAGACCTCAGCAACCCCCAGGGTGCATGAAGGAGGCGCAGGTTGGAAAGTCAAGCCCCAAAAAGCGATGACACCTCTTGGAGCACATCTCTAGGAGATAGTCAGCCCTGAATCAACCCTCCCTGCTCGTGCCTTGGTGCTTCTTGGAGCCGAATGAGGATGCATGGCAATCCTGGATGGGGGCAAGCCTTGGGGCAGATGTCCATGGGGTAACAGTTTCATGGGTGTTTGGGAACGCAGTTCTCACAGGGAGCGGGGATTGACCCCACCATGGTCCCCACCTGGGATTGACCCCTTGCTGGGATCTCTCATCCCAGGGAGAGATGGGGCTGTGCATAGGTGGCTGCTTCTTCTTGCCCTGGGATGGGAGAGAGGTGGGCCCATGTGAATCTCATGGA